GCATTATTGGTGTCATAAGTGAACTGTTTTATAACGTGGCCGCCGGTCTGGGAGGTTTGGGCATGCTCGCTGTTACTGGATTTTATGCCTACCTCATTGTCAAAAGGGACCGACAAATGTGCTAACTCTCTACTCCAGGTCATTATTATTTTGATTTAAATATGCCTGTTTGAATATGATTCATTATTATAATTTATCTCTTTGAAACTTTTATTGTCATTCAATTCTTTATCATGTTTAGTATATGAAATATATGTTACTTAATTAATTAAATAGGTTATATCATATTTTGCTTATAAATATTTTGTGTTAACACTTATCGAGATAAATATTTTACCAGGCGCACATATCTATTTATATAATGCATAATTATTTCAAATACTGTAATGTTTTACTATTTATAAAATAAACCTAATGGATTATCAATAAAGTTTTGCGTATGGTTATTTTGTTTTTTGTTTAAAAACCTTATTATAAACCACATAGTGATGCAGTACTAAACTAATTTAAATCTGGAGCCAAAAACTATTGAATGTCAATTTATTAAAATAAATTATTTATACATGTATAATTTTGTAATTAATAATTATCAATAAAAATATAATTAATAAGTTTCTAAATATTTCTATCTAAATATAACAAATATAATAAATTGTTTTAATAAAAGTAAATTTACACAAATAATGCATAACAAACATCGTGCATGGTAAATATTAGGCTATATTTAGATGGCGCCAAACATATGCAACACATGAAACGGTTCATAAAAAATAAAAATTGTTATATATTTTAAAGAATATTAAATATTCCGCACATTATCTCCACAATCAAAGTCTACTCTCTATTTATATAACACCAAAAGTTTTATTGTTTTGTTTTTGCAAAACACATAACACATTGGAATTAATACATTGTTTTGTGTTACGTCTTGTGCTGACAAAATCCAGACTCTCTCTCTCTCTCTCTCTCTCTCTCTCTCTCTCTCTCGCTCTATCTTTCTTTCTCATGTCTTGCTCTAAAGTATTGATTTTTATGTACTTTCTATGAACATGAAATAAGTGCACCATAATCGAGCTGAGCATTTCACTATATTATAGCAATATTGGGTCTAACAAGTAAGAATTAAGTATATTTACATTAATTTTTTATACAACAATAATATTCATTGTTATACAAGAATAATTTATGTAAACATTACGAACAGAATAATGTATATAAATATTATCTAAACAGTACTTGTCTATTTTAAACACATAATTTAGATACAATCATAATAACAATCAATTTTAAAATAAACTAACAATATTGAGACCGACAACAAACATGATAAAAGGCGAAGAGATGGGCAACCATTACTGGGAACACGACTCCCGGTTCCGGTGCGTTAAAATCACCTTGATAGTGATTCACACGTTGGCCATTATATTTCTCGTCATCGCCACTGTCCTATTCTTTGCCGCACTAAACGTGGTAATGGACGCCGAAAAAAGTAAGTCAACGGAATTAGACCAAGGTGAAATTGAAAATGAAGGCCCGACACTAGCACCCGAGGCAACAATGAGTAAGTTGTATTTTTGCGCTAGGTGTTATTTATATAAACAGTGAACTCTATATTATAATTTAGATATTGAGCATGGGTAATTAGAAATATATATTAGAAGTATATTTATAAAGTACATACAAATGTATACGCTGTATAAAATGTATTAATATAACATCTAATTTAATTTAACCATGGTTAGAAATGGTTGGCACGTTTATGGGCGTATTCTTGGCGGTGTGTCTGATCCTCGAGATCATTGCGCTAATAGGCATAATCAAGGAGAACAAAACAATCGTGTTTGTTTACGCGGCGCTGGGCATTATTGGCACTATTAATAACCTGGTGAACGGCATTATTACCGGCCTATTCAGCGCCGTTACGGTCGGTCTGACCGCATATTATGGTTATATGATTGTCAAACGCGATCGCGGAATGGTTTAAACCGTCCCATGTTTTAATTATGTTATATTTTAATAGTTTAGATGCTTTCATATATTGTATTGCTCCCAATAGTTGATTGTGGTGATAAATTTGATTATTATTTTTAATTATTAAATAGATCTCTCTCTCTCTCTCTCTCTCTCTCTCTCTCTAGTAAAATTAATTTACACCTTAATTTAATAATTGCTTAGATCTTAATATACATTGTGTAGTCTTCGTGTGAATTTATATTTTATATTTAATTTTTTGCAAAAACATATATTTTTTGAAAAATAACTACTAATTGGGGAATTAATTATAAAATGTATAACTATTTGCCAATGGATTATAGCTCTGGTTATGCCTACGAGTGATTTACTCGACAATCAATTGTTTTTGTTTGCATTTAAAATGCATAACAAACACAAAGTTTTCTGATAAATGTTGTCCTAATGTTAAGGATGTTATGCTTTAAATGTGATATGAAATATATGTTTTATAATTGTTTTAATATTTGCTTAATTTTAAATGATCTTGAACAAGAAACTTTAATATAACTTTAATGTTATGATAATTGTATGGATTAAATAAATTTGTATTGAACTAATATACTTTATAAGCAACACGTGATTTAGTCTGGAACAATTTAATAATTGCCTATTAATCTGGTAAATTAATATAAATTATAATTGCTGTATATTTAAGTAAAAAAATTATATGTTGTTTATTTTGATTAATAAAATTTTTAATTATTTAAACTGTCTATTTGTTTGGATTATTTAAGTTTTATTCCGAGTAATCTATAGAATTCACTTCACATGTGACCGAAATTTTTGCCCGGTCAAATTTGAGATGCCCATCGTGTAGATCATAAAAAAGTAGGATAGGAATGTAATATCAAGAAAAAATTTTATGTTGGAATTTTCGAGATATTGCCGTCGGGAAAAAACCCTCCCCCATATACTCTCCCATAGAAAATTCAAATAATGCGCTTAAATGTGTTACGGCTAACACTTGATGATTCATGATGATATATANCCCATAGAAAATTCAAATAATGCGCTTAAATGTGTTACGGCTAACACTTGATGATTCATGATGATATATAGACTCATCAAAATTATGAATTCATATTCATAAATAGTAATTGAACTTTGATTACTCGGCGCGTCGATTGTACACTTGTTAAATAAAATAATTTAGCACTGATGACATTAGTATAATTCACATTTGGTAAGTGTGTAAGTGGGATAGGGTAGACACATCTGGCACATATAAATCACCACATTTCCCACTCGCACATAAATGTCTAGGGCTAGAAATTGACCTTGACATTGAAATAAACATAAAATATTCTGCACATGATTCTTTCTCAGAATCAAAGTCTACTCTCTATTTATATAACAAACCCAGAGTTTTAGGGAGTGGTCCGTACTGTACATACACTATGCCATAGACCAGGTCTGTGTTGTTGACACACATGCTTTTATAATGCAATTTGGATTCAACTCACTGTACATCCCAGACATACACAGACTTTACCATCGAGTATTGATTTGTATGGCTTTTATTGCGTTAAATGTCTGAACAATATTTTTATAAAAATTAAAATATTTCAATATATGACTGCAATTTTATATTGAATTTTTTGGTGACATTATTTATTAAGGTATTTATATAATACCCTAGTAAAATATTCCTTCCAATATTCCTTGATCACTCTAAAACAGCTCTATTGTGTAAACATAAAATACTTAATAATATTACAAATATTTAACAAGAATATTTTATACACATATAATTTACTTGTATAGATAATACTCCAAATCTAATTAATTAATATAGTAACACCAAACAACTCACAAAATAACCACGATGAAAGGCGAACCAATGGTGATGAACGGCGGTTATGGTGGCGGCAACAATGACCGGGAACAGGACACTTGTTTCCGGTGCGTGAAAATCATCCTGATCGTTTTCCATTCGCTGGCCCTGATTGGTCTGGTCATACTTGCGGTCATATTTTTTGTCGCACTAATCGCTATCTCTAACGCTAACGATAAACATAAGACAAAGTACGATGACTACAACTATCCGACAAACACCGGTACCGACAATACACCGAACAACGACCAAATGAGTAAGTGTTACATTAAACACTAGTTTATTTTTAATACAACCATGGTTAATTAGAGATATATTATGCTTAAATTAATTCCCCACATAATGAGAATCCTGTTAAACACTGGTTTAATTGATCATCGTGATATTTATATTATTTGTAAATTTCTAATTGTTTTTGTGTACCGTGAATGTTATATTAATTTTAATCATGGTTGTTAATAGAAACGATGGGCACCTTTATGGGTATATTCGTGTCGCTGGCCCTCATCTTTGAGATCATTGTGCTAATAGGCATTATCAAGGAGAACAAAACGGTCGTGTTTGTCTACCTGGTGCTGGGCATCATCGGCACCATACAGAATATGATGTATGGCGTGGCCACCGGTCTGTTGAGCACCGTTATGGTCGCACTCACCGCCTATTTTGCGTATATGATTGTCAAACGCGACCGACAGATGGTTTAAAACAACGAGTTTGTGTTGTCTATGATTATTATGTGTTATTGCAGCTAGTTTACAATTTACATGTATTTTTGTTTTGTGGGATCAATATTTAACACAATGATAAATTTAAAATTTATCTTATTTTGTATAGTTTTTAATTTATATACAATATTTTCTCTCTCTCTCTCTCTCTCTCTCTCTCTCTCTCTCGATTTTGTTATAAATTATAATTATTTAGCATGTATTCAAATACTTATGATCTCAATATTGATATAAAGTACTTTATAATGTACTCATATTTTTGCGAAACAAATACTAAATGAACAAAATATTGTTAATATTTTTATTGCTTGATAAAACTATTGCTATATTTTTAAACAAAAAAACTACAATATATTTATGACTTATTAAATAGTAATTTTATGAACAACTTTATTCAATGAAAAGTATGTAATGTTTGTATATTTATTATACTTTATAATCCCAACTATTGTACTGATTGAATGGCTTTATACAAAATGACAATTATATTTTGCAACTTTTAAAATATTAGTAGCATTATTTTAATAAATAAAATCAATGTGATTTATTTTTGAACAAACAATAAAATTCAAAATAAAAAACACAATTTGACTTTTAATTCAAACTTTATATGTATTTAATTAAAAATACAGCATTTATAAGGTTTCCAACGCTTACATCCTTTGAGAGGAAAATAACATTTTAAACCAAAACCAAACACCAGATATAACTAATCGAAATGAAAATTGAGAATTACTAAGAATTAAATTTATTGGTCAAATTTAGCCGATTTTTTTTTACTGATAATTAGATGTAAACCCGTATTTATTGAGTGACAAAACAATGTCATTCATTTGTCTGTATGTCTTGTAGTTCCGGAGTAATCCTCTCCCGAAGAGGTTCACTCCCGAAACAGCTTTGGCAATGTTATCCAATGGCAATCGATATATGTGAAAAATAAATATTACGATATTTTTTAATTGGCTAGGTCGATTGCTAAAATTTATATCAAATTGTTATTTTCTTTATCTAATCTTTATTTAAAAACACTTTACGGCATTTTATTATCCA